GACCCCTAAGGAATTGTGAAATTGTTAAGGGATGCATTGTAGGGCTAAGGGCACTACAGGTATTTCTGCCAGCATCCAGATGGCAGCTACGACATCATGTCGCCACCCTGCAACCCCGAGATCCATTCTTTGAAGAATTGGTATCTCAGCGGCACTTCCATGTCATTTGATTTTCCCCCATATAGCCCTTATATATCCCTATAACCCCTAAGGTTCCATTTAATTGTCCTGTTCCTTTCCAGTTTGATTCTCCGTCCTCAGGCGAATACGGAGCCGCGCTACCCTGAACCCTGAACCCCAAATCCTAAACCCTAAACCCTAAACCAACATAACCCCCATTCCACCCTACGTAGAGGCTAAATCCCAGGTATGTGTTCCCGATGGTCCTCCTTGTCGCCGGCATTCAGATGGGGTGTGTGGCAGGTGAGGGCCTGTTGTTGGATTCTGTGCTGCTGTTAATAACCACTGGTGGCTTAGGTTTGTTTGTTTTCTTGGGTCTGGCTGAGCCCTCAGGAGTCCAGAAGCAAAAAAGGCGGAATCGGGATTTCCCAACATTTGGGTTACTTTGTAATCCCTATAAAAAGGATTATAGTAGATTGGAATTCAAAATTGAGGCCCCTACTTTTGTCAGACCACAAAATTGAGTTGCAAAAATGCGGAGGAGACTCCATTCTTTGTCGTGTATCCAGAAATATGGTAACTTTACGTAGCTTAAGTTCCTCAACGGCCCTAACTAAACCTTAAACCCTTACCCAGGAGTATTCCCAGCGCGAGCCAATGGAGTCCCGAGGGAAGATGAAGGCGGAGTTCACCATGATCACCATGGCAGGTTCCCTGGCTTCTGCCGGTTTTGTCGGTGTGTTCATGAACGGCAAGGAGAGGCTTCTCAAGAAAAAGCGCCCCCCAAGAACAGCATTCTATTAGAATACCGGAGGTATAGAAGGAGAGTTTGCTTTTGAGATGCGGTGAGGAGTACTTGGGCACGTTCGACTGGGGCATGTCCTTCCGAAGCCTGATGGCCGTGTGCTTCGTGATCGCGACCGCCTTTATCCCTCTAAGCCTTTGGTGCGTCAAGGAACCCAAGAAGGTGGCCCCCGCATCGTGCTTGTCAAGCGTAAAATCTTCATGGTAGCTTGCCTGCGATAGCCGTAGCTTAGGCATTTTGCTAGGACGCTCAGCTTCAACACACGGCTGTTGACAATGAGACTGAGGAAGCTGATCAAGAACAAAGGCCTGTCCGCCGTGCTGATCTTCGCCTTCATCATGCAGTTCTTTTCCACCATCTCGACAACTGCAGGGCCCATGGTTCGCAGCCAGTGGGCTGAGGTGAAGGTCTTGCAGCAGCAGATGTTCCTCATGGGCACCATGTTGGTAATGATGTTGGCAACTTGGGTCTACAAGGAGTACTTCCTCAACACCTGCTGGCGCAAGGCGATTCTGCTTGCAGTCTTCGGCCTGACCATCTCGGACTCCGTCCCAACTTTCCTCACCGTGTTCAATGT